TCATCTCACTCGGAATGAGGTTTAGTGTACCTTGGTTAATGACTATGGATGAATACATTACTTTATTCTATTGAAAACGATAAAGTTTATTAGTTACTCTTCTACACTTTAAAGTACTCATATTGTTAGGTATTTTGTTATAGTACTGTTCTATTGTACGCCATCGCTACAGAAGCGTTCCACGTACTTGCTGATACATGTGACCGCGATAAGTGAGCTCGCGATTAACGCGTAGTCTAGACTTCCTTGAAGTGAAAGTTTAATACGGGAGGTAGCTTATGGAGTACACAGTTAACTGTTAATCGACATTTACTATATGTAAAAGTATTCGATGATAGAAGTTATTGTGATTTGTTGTCATTTTTCATCAAGAATTTATTTTATTTCTTTTCATAACGTAGCTTTACATAGTTTAATTGGAGTGACAGAGCCTATACAAACATAATATAGAAATTTAAGGTTAAGAAAATTATTAAAATAATCCCCGGAACACAATTCAAAATGATTCATCGATATGAGTTTTGTTTTTGCTACTAAACTTAATAAAAAAAGTTCTGTTAAATATATAACTAGAACCAAAGATGCCATTAGTTAATTTTGTAGCTATGCGTGAAAAGACAGACAGACATTCTAAAGAAATCATGCATACCAAACACTCCTCAAGTTGTTCAGTTATTATGTCAAAAGTCTATAAGTTTTGATCAATACTAAAACAAAATAGTTCTACTGATTTATTAAATGCATAGCTATCTTTATGACGCCCTTTAAACATTCGATTATTTATTCACATTCGGTCACGTTGATACAGAATAATATTTTAAATAACGTTGCGAAAGACAGATGAATGTTCGCTTTGTGTTTGACTCAGCCTCACACGTTTTGTCTTGACATTTTAAACTAAATAAAGGTCTCAATTGAATTAACTTATATGCTACTGGCATATGCTAATTTTATGTTCAACTGTTTCATTCGTGACCATTCGTCTGTAACACCATAAATAGTTTTGATTTCAAGAATTTTTAGTATGTTGATTGTTTCGTTTGTATTTTATTACCAATTAAGACATTATACATTTTCTTAAGTTCCGTCAATTTCTCATACACGCAGCTAAGGTAGCAAATCAATTGTTTAGTACATAGACATAATAATATTTTTTTCTACAAACATACATCTCAGTTCTGAGCTTTGGCATTGAATTCAAGTATTATTCAATAAAATTCTAATCAAATTCTATAGTATACACGTAATGTTTTAGTGAAATCAATTTACGATCTTGTTAAACTAATTCCAACATTTCGATTGTCGATACAAAGCCGGTTGCAAACGCACAGACGCACGCAACTAATTAACAAAAGTATCGCATGTCCGGAGAGCCATTATGATATGTAACTAAATAAAATTTAAAGGAAAATTGTTTGTAAAATGATGAAAAGAAACTTATTTTGGAGCTACTTATATGCAATTTATTTAATTTAATAATATTGTAATGAAATGCATATTATTTAATTAAATATTATTCTCACAAGGAGACTCAAGTTTCTGCGAAAATCTAATTAGTGACATTGCTTTGAATTTAAGTGCTGAAATTATTCTTTTCCCATTCGCTGTATTTAAATCGTATGACAATCATATTAAAATTATTTTATGACGTTGGGGTTATTATATTTTCAGTAAATCAGTGGAAAATACTTTTGCTAATAGACTTTAAAGAAATATTAAGATGACTCCACAAATTTTACTTGCTCAGCATCTATATTTTGATCTTAGAAATGAATAAGGAGGTTAAATAGCTTTTAAGGTTTTATATTATGTTGAATGCCGCTATAGGCTCTTGTATAATATAATTTGTTTAATTAACTACCTATATAAAATAGTTCAATATTATTATTTCAGTAACATTTAAAATAATTTAATTATCACGGCATTAGAAATTCTGAATTAACTACATAAATTCATAGTAAACCAACGCTTTCAAAGCAACTCGTATGATACTTATTCTGCGACATCCACATGCAATACAATTTGAGCTTTATTTTAATAACAATAAGGTGGAAGGGGTAAAAAATGAAAGTACAGTTACAACCGCCCACTCATCAAGAGCCCTATCATAGTATAATTATCTTCACTTAATTAGTTCATAATATATTGGATATTGCAATACATGATGAAAGGTAAGGATAGGTCATGAGTGAATTCACTTTATGCGTGGGTTTCGTAACAGGTTCTATACGTTATTGTACGTATTAAATGTTTATAATACAACCATACATTGGATGCCTTCACTTTAATTAGAATCAAACTATTTATTCTAACAATTTACAACGGTTTTAATGAAAGTCTTTACGGATTTATGAATATTACCCTTCCTTAAATGATAAATAAATTGGTAAAGATGCTATAAAACTTCAGTCAGTTTGGGGTTTGTGAGGGCGCGTACCTCACCCTTATGAAATACCACTAATTAGGAGACATTTGACGTGGACCGTGCATCAGTTAGGAGTCCTAGCTTGGACCTATTACGAATTTTATTTGCAGTTTCGAGTTATGAATTTTTAATGAGATCGCGAGAGAGATTATGAGCCAGAAAGTCATTTCCCGGTAAAGGAGAGAATAAAAAAGCTGTACCGTTTGTTCGAGTCGGGCCAGAAAAAACGCTGTGTCTGAAAATAAAACGAGATCCGCCTGCGAATGAGGCGGCTTAATTTTTTTTTTTGCGGAAATTTTATTTTTTCATTTCATGTAATTACGCGTGTTTTGTAGCCACGTTTCGGCATCTATCTACTTGAGTGCAATCCACATTTTGGTGCTCGCTTGTTTAATTTTTTTCATTTTGTGGCTCTGTTTACAAAAATATTTTGGCGGTTTTGTTATAAAAAATATGAACTCTCTATACTAAAGCGGAAATATTAACGTAAGTCAAATATAATCATTATATTATAAATAGAATTATGAAAATGTTTTGCTCCAAAACAGCCCGCGTTATAATTCTCCAACTATTTTTCAACTTATGTCGTATTCGGGAAATATTTTTATTGTCTCAGCGTCGTCATTATATTTCCGGCTGGTCGGGTTCTACAGTTTTTAAGAATACCGGTAACAGAAATAAAATTCAGTTACAATTTACAAGCAATCTCAGACTTCAATCGATCTTATATATTGATTACTAGCTTTTGCCGCGGCTTCGTCCGCGTGGAATAGTGACTTCCGGCAGATTTTTGGTTCTTCCCACATAGTTCCCGTTCTTGCAGGGTTTTCGGAATGGTCGAGTTCCCGTAGAATTTTCAGGATAAAACCTATGTTTTTTTTTAATTCACAATGAAGTACTCTTTACCAACAACATATTTTATTTGTTTATTTGAATAAAGATGAATATTATTATGTTGATACAACTTAAACAAATTATTTAGACCAAATTAGGTACCATAAAAACGGTTTTTGTGAGTTAATCTAAAAAGATAGACATATACTGTTGCGGACTGTTTTTTAGATCATTAAAAGAGCTATTATTCTTTAATACATATTTTTTGTGTATCTTGAACCGTTTTCACGGTGCACGCAACGGAAGGCTTCACAGATGAAATAATTTCTCCCGTTTTTTACACATTTACCCCTATATCTTTGCCCCTATTGGTCGTAGCGTGATTTTATATAGCCTACAGCCTTTCTCGATAACTGGACTATCCAACACAAAAACAATTATTCAATTCGAACAAGTAGTTTCGGAGATTAGCGCTTTCAAACAAACAAACAAACAAACAAACAAACTCTTCAGCTTTATAATATTAGTATAGATTGTATAACAAAAACCCACTTTAAAATAGAATTAATTTTGATATTTTTACGAAATTTGGAAAATTATTTTAAGACAGTTCAATATAGAACTTGGGAAACTGTTAGTCTTTCAAGCTTATAATGTCCAGTTGACGTCACAAAAACTAATTTGAATAAACTTAAAGTCGTGATAAATAATTTCACTAAACTAATACAAAATGTTTACATTTAAACAAACGTGTTATCCTCACATCAGGGGCGTGTTGTGAGCACGAGACGAAGGATTAAGCATAACCCATAATTAGATCCCATGTATGCCGGAATTACTCCTTTGTTTGAATAATACATATTTGTTATATTAAAAATACAAGTAAACTTAAACATATCCTTAAAAACATATTATCATATTGAATATAATTTTTCCATGTTATAATATTATATATTTCTACTATCTTTAAAACGGCTTCAAGTATTCAGCCAAAAAATTTTGGTGACAAGTGACAAGAGTTTAAATTTTAAAAAATGCGGATAATACCAACATTTTTTACCATTTTTTTAAACATATACATTATTGCTTAAAAGGTAAGCTTAATAATTAAATGATTTGTCATATACACAATCTATTCATTTTAATGGCTAACTACTTAACAATTAGGACTTATGTTTTACCTTCATAGACTATCTCAAGGGAGATTTGGCGTATCTTAAGTACGTTGAAGGCTAATTGGTTAAATATATTGGAAGAAATGAAACATAAATAAAAACAATTCAAATACTAGATAAGATATTACCAGGAATTTATAAAAAGAGTTGATTATAAATATGAACACGGGTCAGATATGTTTTTTATACATATTTTGCAGAAATGTTATAAGTATATATATATTTTATATTCCGTATTATCCCATACATCACGTTTCTCGTTTCCCGCGCCCTGCACGCGATCTGCGGTCAGCAAACATATGTAATGAATCATTTCACAGTTGAGACACGCATGGTAGGGTCGACGTACACCCAAAAAAAGCGACTGGTTAAAAAAAACTCGATTATATGATTTTTTTTTATTAACCTGAATGTTTTCATCACATGTTTAATTTAAAATATGTTTATTCCTCGGTGTGGCCGTTCATAAATATTTGATTGAATCTTCAGAAGTTTATTTTTTGTTTTTAATATAATTAATTACAAATAATAAAATAAAGTTATATAAAAGTACCAATACCTCAAATATGTCTGTGACAAATTTGGGTTAGTACTTAACACTTTTGATATTTAATTTAAAACGATTAAAAAACTGCATATGAAAGAAAAACAAAACGAAAAAATAATTAAAAAATATTTTGAAATTGGTATAATATTTTTAACTTATTTCTTAAATGAATCGTTCATATAACTATGCTACCTCGGTTTCTAAATTATTAATCAAATAATGCATATTTCCCCTTACAACCCTTCCCTAAAAGCGCACACCGCTTATTACAATAATATGGGGTTTGGATCTACACTATTAATATGACTTTAGCATGTTATTACAAAATATCAAATAATTATTATAGAACAAAAACTAGAAAATTTTAGTTTAGATTTTTTGCAATTTTAAACAACGTGTTAATCTTAGTGCCATAAAGTAGCATGAAAGTAATGAGTTAGGTAACTCATAATTCACCATAAATTTAAATAAAGTTATCTTTGTAAAATAAAATACATACATTGCTTCTCCCCCTCACACAGTCTTAACATTATATATGAAATAACTATTCAATAATAATAAAAGAAACTTTAACAGTCATTATTTAAAAGTTAATAGGCAGTTTTACTGTAATTATATAAAATCTGATTAAGTATAATTAATATTTTGATAAATACGACCCTATCACCGATGGATTACATAACACCTTTAAAGAAAAATTGGAGAAATACTTTTCCTATATGGTGAAATCCTTAAGTCAAAGGTTTAGCTTATTTTGGTCCTTGCCAGGATTTCGACTCCCAAGAACATACTGAAGATACCAATTAAATTTTTTAATGTATTCTTTTAAAGTGTGAACTTTATTTATTATGTGCTTGAAAATCTGGATGGAGCTGCAGCATCCTGATGCATCCATCAGCTCCTAAGATTAATATATAATTTTCTTCACATACCTACTTTGTATTTTACTATATTAGTTTGTGTACTAATTAACATAGTTATAATTAAAATATAGAGATACACTTTCTGGCCATTTCACTTCACATAACTACCGATGGAATTAACCTCAATGTAGGCCACCTGATAACCTTCAGATAGCGCTATCAGGACCCAGTGCATCGATACCTGCTGTTTCAATTACAGAGTTTAGTGCAATCTATTAGACACGCCTTCGACCTTTACTTCACACCCTTATTTGACTATAGATGTATAAATGTTAGGAGCTGCCGGATAATAGACTTATGTAAGAGGTAGACAGACACGTCTATTTTAGGTAATAAAATTGCATTGTATATCTAATGCCAATATAAAATATTCATACTGTTTCTTTATTCCATATTTTATTTATAAAACAAAATATAATCTAGATCTTAAATAATGAGTTCCTATACTTAAAATATAAGCAAGTTCCAAAAAGGAAAAAAACTGTCGGCCACAGAAAAAAACGTTTTTAAAATAAAATGTCTTAGTCGAATTCCAATTTAATTGTAACCTAAATATTATAATATGTCTCCAAATTGAACAGGACTATCGAAGAAAACAAATCATTATTAGAATAATAAATTAAATTATTATCAATAGTCCTATAATATCAGATAAGAAGCCTTCAATTTGGAGTCAACTGCCACTCCACACATCGACACTACAGCCTCATTAATCCTGACCCTCCAATTAACATCTCGGGGACACTACGATATGGTGGCCAGCTTTCAACCTTATTGCATAAAACCTTCTTCGATGCATTCACTTCAAATTAGTCATAATATTGTAATAAATAAAAAAAAACTGGTACGACACTAACTTCTTTCATTCAAATTATTTACAAGACTTTGTTTAATTACATACATCTTCGTTGTAAGTAGTTTTTATTTATTTATTACATAATTAGACGTTTTCATATCAGGTCTGAATTCATTCACCTTAACAAGTATGCGTACAAATTACGGCCATAACAGCCGTGTCTTTCAATCTCGCATGATCACCTCATTAGTAATATGGATTCCGCTTGTGACGTCATTTCCTATCAATCGTTTCCATATCCGTGTCGGTGTCGGTTCATTAAAATATGGATAACGAGACATTTATACTACTTTATCCAACTTGATGTCACAGCTTTTTGCACTTATTACTCAGAGTATGTAAGCTATATATGTATATATGTATGTGTTGCAATCTAAAAATGCTTGTATTTCATATTTTTTAGATGGCCATAAAGAACGAATGGGATCACTTTAAAGCCAGACGCCTTAAATTATATTTGTTCTTCTAAATTCTAATGTTATTTACTTTTAATAATCTGTGTAAGTATATGATATTTATAGTAAAAACAAAATGGACTGACGTGTCGAAATGAATCACTTTCACACCCCTCGAACAAAATCGAAGTTAATATGTCAATACAAAGGCGTGTCTAATGCGTTTTTACTAAAACAACTTATATAAAAAGGGGATATTAACTTCTATAAGTAGAAACGCAATCTTTTTACTTCTAAATGTATTTCCAAAATATTAAGCAACGACAAAGTCTTCCAGTTTTACATATATTTTAAATTCTAGGAGTTGTAAATAAAAGAGTCAAATTTAAACCAAAACATAATTCTTTACACAAAATCATAAACATCTAAAAATATCGGCATCACATTCTAAAAGCATTTTCAACATATTTAATACAACCTGTTCATATTTCAGCAAGAAATGGCTTAAGAAAAGCAGAATTATGCTCTCCATGAAAAATAGAGGCAACGATATAAAAGGGAAAAGCATAACCCGAGGTCGGAAAACAAAACAATTCACTGAGTGCACCCATACACGGCCATTGTGACACACGTCAGGTCATGCGATTCAGACGGACCACAAAACCTCTATTGTGTCATGAATGGGGGCTTTATACATTGTGCAAAAACAAATTTTTATAAGAACGTGTTCTTTTCTATTTTATAAATGGAATGTGCTTCGTGTGAATATTTTAAGTGTATTGCTGGCATGTTGCTGGCGTGTGTTTCTATATTTTTTCCTTTTTTTTTAATTTAAACAAATGCGTTCTGTTCTGCGTTGCCTGTTTTGTGCTGAAAATTGTATTGACTTGTAGCTATTGTTGTTTTATTAAAAATGTGTTTCGAGTAACGTATTTCGATTGGTGAATCCATTTTGTATGTTTATAGAATGTGTGAGGAGAATATATTGCTTCCTTAGTATAATGGAATGAAAAGTGTACGGAAAAAATATGTTTTTTAGACAAATAATTTCTTTGCATTTTCAATAATTTCTTTTCAGTTCTCATATATTTGTGTGCAGACAAATGAAGATGAAACCCAGAAATTTTTATGTTATTATTAAGACACTTATTAATATACGAATACATACCTTTCGGTTATCGAATATTAATAGACAAATATTGGATTTGAAAAATATGCGTAGGTCTATTTTGACATACTCCTTGTATAGTGCATGGCACGCGATTCATGCCACGTTCCTGGTTTGTTACTCGTAGTACATATTTTATGATAGTCCATCCTGATAAAGAAATTATAACACTTTAATTAAAACTAAAAATAAATGTATAGGTATAATTTTTTCTCTATTATGTCATTATCAATTTGAATTTAACAAAATATATGACATGTCCTAGAAAAAACACAAATATTTTAAATAAATAAATAAAAAAAGGGTAAACATAAAAATCTCGCTTTTTTAAGTCCTAACGAATAAAATGCTTAAAACACCTCATACAAAATAGTTTATAGTTGTAAGTGTGATAACATAAAACAGATTTTAACAAAACAGAAGTATACCTGAGGCGTGGCAATGGTTTCCATTACAACTAAACTGATATAGACAGCTCAGCTCATGGTGTGAGTTCAGGAGTTTCGATTTACAAATATGATACAGTGTACATTACGCTTATATTAAATTACATGATTATTAATACTATAAGTATGTATATATACATATATATCTTCTGTTAACATATCCATAGTTTTTTAATCAGGAGACACCAAAAAAGTGAGACGTACCAGTAATTAAAAGAATTTAGGATTTTTTAAAATTCGAATTAATAAATGTATTTATGTTTAAGATACAACTTAAATACTTGTCCGAGTGTTATTGGTTCTGAATAAATATTAAGATCAGATCGACGAGTAAGAAATTTGAAAAGTAAACAGTCAACAGTTGTATAATAAGTTACATGACTTTTTAAAATGTTGACATATTTGCAATCTCTTAAAATCACTGGAAAGAGTAATCTTTAATTTTAATTGATTTTCATAAACCAACTAAATGATTTCAAAGAAAAATAACTATAATTTATAAATGTGTATATTTTAATGTATATTGCAGTCAGTCTTTGAGTTACAATTTTATATAAATACTATAAAAGAAGCTGAAAAATGCATTAAAATTCCTTGAAACTGAATGTTTTATACTGAAAGACATAAAGTATAAAATAATCTGTAGAAACTTCAACGAGATTATTTCATTACTTCATCTGACGTTCCAATCATTCCTATCGGCGTTTTGATTATTGCTTTAAGAAAGGAAAAGGATAAAATACTTTACAGCTAACTGAATGCATACTTATTAAATGTTATATTTGATTCATTATTTATATGTAGAAATTTCATTTAGTGACCGCAGTTATAAAACTTATTATGCACAAAAATACCTGCAATTTTTATTTCGAGGAACAAATTATTTCTTTTCTTAGTTGCATCTACAGTTTTCATATTTTATATGTGGCAGCTGTGGCTAAAATGCTTAGAAAACCGATGAATAAATATTGTAAACTGTTTAACTTTTAAAGTGCTGGTGTTTATTGTGCGCTCTTAATTATATGTTCCCGATAGAATGAAATATTAATAAATAAAATATACATTATTTAATTCAAAAACTTTAAGGCGCCTTTCAATTTCTTACAGTGCTACGGTTCTAGTGAAATAATCAATTTTCCACGGTATGGAAAAAGGAAATCAATTTCATTGCAATAGTGAAAAATATAAGTGCCCCAGTCTGAACAAACTTGACTAAGTCCTCGAGACAACGGATCTCTTGTCTTATGAAATCCTTGAGTGGACTACCTCAACGATTTTGTTTTTATAGCCCGCTGGATCTAGATTTAAGTAACTTTACGAAGGAACCGCTTTTATAATTGGAATTCTTGTCTAGAGAAATATGCAGAAACTTGATGACCGACGCGTCCAGGTTATTTAATTTCATAGAATTTAAATAAAATAAACATCTGTTTAGTCCTTTTACCTATTTATGGAAGGTTCAATATTCGTGATGATTGAGTACTTTTTGAACATAGAAATGACATTGATCTGCCTATTCAAAGAATGGTGGATTAACTTATTATGACTTGAAAGTTAAGACCTATTCAACAGGTGCAAACATACACATTGGAGAGAAGGAACCTCGATCGTACTTCACAATATGTATAATTGCCAATTATAATGGCGAAAAATATCATATAATATTTGCAAATATACAAAAAAAAATATTTGAATGTACGTGTGTATTTGGAGAATATATGTAAGTCCTCGCTTTGAAATCGAAAATAAGAAACTGATTTTTATATTACAGATACGTAATAAGGTATAATTTCTCTAAATTCAGTGAGTAACTTAAACTTGTTTATATTTTTTAACTTTAACATGAAACCAAGTCCTTCAAGGATTAATATTCAGTTACTCAAAGCACTCAAATTGGAGTGTGTTCAAATTAATTAAATTCTCATACATTTGCAGCCCGTTGACTGGAGTAAAGATAATGAATGGAAGGAAATTGTTAGTGAGGTCCATAATTTGCGTATTTTCGGCAGTTACCCCCTTTGTTGGTACGTGTGTGATGCTGGAAGTCATTATTTTTTTGTCAAATTTCAAAGGAAGTGAGTGTTATTTTTTTTTGGGAAGGGTTCAGATGCACTTGAATTATGACAAAGTGCGAGTTATACAATTTTTATGACAGAACTTATTTACATTAAGAAAGAAACTGATAATCAAAATATTCTTTGTAGTATATCTTTCATTAGTAGAACTCCTTTTAGTAAAACAGTCATTGATAAACCTTATTACCCGAGCGTCTTATTCATGCATTGTTCTTTATACTGAATATGACCAATCTTTATTTTGAGATGATATGAATAGGTTTGATTTAACTGTTTAAAAATTGCTGAAAATTTTGAATCAAAAATGTGTATAGGAGACTGTTATGTATATTGCGCATTGCTAGGGGCGCGTGGGGAAGGGGTGTGCAATTAAAATTATAATTTTTGGCAAACTCTCCTGCCCCTTGTGACGTGTATCTGTATCTTTGACTTATCCCGCTGGCGATTCAGACTTTTACGCACTGGGTTTAACTTTTTCGATACATTTTTTTATGCTTTTTACTAATCGGTTAATTTTTCTTTCATAGCCAGTTAACGTTACATTTATTTTAGATTTATTGTTTTATAAATTGTTATTTTACGGTCAATAGAATTTAAAAGCTTAAAATAGTTTACAATGAAAATTCCGTTACTCGGAGAGCATCATAATAAAAAAACAATAAATACTCTCTTCATATATTAAATAATATTTTTTTTATTATGCTTAATTCTATAATTTTTGAGACAAAAATATAGATGAGTTGAAAAAGTTTATATTTATATTAAATTTCTTACATAAAAAATTAATGTTTAATATATATTTTGCTCCCAGTACGCAGAGCTAAACTTGAATTCCGAAAATACGTATCTTCCTAGATTTGGACACCCCCGAATGTCATTGTGCCGTTAGGAGAGCACCCTTTACGATATTTAAATATTCATTTTAACTCTTTAATTATACTTCGCGCATGTGAACCTTCCATTTTACGTTTTTCTTTGTTTTACTTTTTTTTTCTTTTAAACCTGCTCCCGGTAAGTGCACCTTTATGTTAATTCGCATTTCTGAAGGCAGATCATAATCATTAACGAAACTAAGAAGCATTTCAATTCCGGATTTTTATTTGCCTACCCCGTGATTTCGTATTTAGCTCCCTGAAAGGTTTTGACCCCAATTCATTAATTTATGAGCTGGGGTTTTCATATTTCCTAAGAAAATAAAAAATAAAGTGACATTTATCCTGAAAAAGATTCCTCATTACTATATGTGAATAAAATATTTTTTTATTATTAGTAGCACAACTTTCGCCGTCATTATAACAATGATTATCTTTTTAACTGTTTTATACTATTAGAATAGCTTATATATTTTTTAAAGTGAAAAGTCATTATCTAACCAAAGTATATGTTGATAAATTCGATAGAAAAATCTTGGCTCTATATTTAATAACCTTAGAGTTTGAGAAAAAAATCAAAGTGTTTAAATTGATTTTCCGAGGCGAGGTGCACATAAGTAGTCACCTGGCTAACAGTTTTACTTGTAATCAATTTACAGTCTCCCCGCTCTTAACGATTTCAAACTCCCGAGCTGAGACAACACTGATGGAGGAATAATGTATGCGGGTGTAAAATTATTAAAAAGGGCTTGTAATTATAAAACACCTTATGGTGCGATCGTTAATTTAACTTTGCTTATTACAATGTTGTTTAAAAGATTATAAAACTGTACTGATATACCTTTAGAACATATAAAAACGATTTAATCAAAGATCTCTATATATTAATATTTACAAAATATTCTTTAATATAAAAAATCTACGTATAGCCAAAGCTCTAGGCGACAACCACCTTAGTCATCAGCTAGCTAGGGCGTTAAGATCAATCCTTAAATTAATTCAAGGAATATCGGCACAAACTGCAGAATATCGCGGTAATTTTGACCGGGCCAAACAGGAAGTAGATTTTGATAAAAACCCTTTTGAGTATTCGAAAACCATTTTTAAGAAAGAACGCGGACAGCTTCTCTTGACCAACGATCAAATTTACGACCATTTCAAGAGTACATACGAAGTGCCTAAAAGTGTAAGGCTCTATACGGATCCAAACGAACAAAAACCGGAAATTCCTCATATCGATTTTCACGGCATACCACCAACGTTAGACGAAATAAGTAGTCACATAAAGAGGAAATCATCTAAATCTGCACCGGGCCCCGATGGTATCCCATATATAGTCTTTAAAAAATGTCCATCGGTTCGTAAACACCTCCTAAATATATACGGCAAAATCTGGTCAAGGAAGCAAATCCCGGAGTGTTTCGGGAAAGCAATTTTTGTCCTCATTCCCAAAAAAGATCGAGTTACCGATCCGAAGGATACTAGACCGATAGCCTTAACAAATACAATATCTAAAATCTTTTTCTCGGTCCTACAAACGAGAATGACGCGATTCATGCTCAGCAACAAGTATTTTAGGCCAAATCACCAGAAAGGGTTTCTACCCGGGATTTCTGGATGCCTAGAACACAATACCTTGCTGTCGGAGAGTTTGAAAGATGCTAGAAAAAGCGAGCGGCAAATTACAGTTTGTTGGATAGACTTAGAGAACGCGTTCGGGTCGATACAACACGAGTTGATGCTATTCGCGCTTAGATGGTATAACTTTCCACCCTTAGTTAGCGATATGATTGCGTCGTATTACTCAAAATTAAAGTTTTCTATTATAACTAAAGAAGGCCCTTCAAAAAGTTTGAGTTACAATGTAGGACTATTTCAAGGGTGCTGTTTATCTCCAATAGTATTTAATATTATAATCAATATCCTAGTAGATAAACTTATCAGCAATGAGAAAAAATGGGGGTATCGGTTTAAGTTCAATAACAAATACACGGAATCCATTTTAGCCTTCGCTGACGATCTCGCAATACTGACACGTCTCCCCAAACACTGTCAAGTACTATTGGATGAAGTGGATAAATTCTGTGAGTGGACGGATGGATTGAGGACAAAACCAAGTAAATGTCACTGTCTGTGTCTTGGTAGGCGGAATACAAGATACACCTCATACGATCCGGGACTATCGATAGGCGGTCAATGCGTTTCTACGGTTACGGAAAATGCACCATTCAAGTTTCTCGGTCGTAAGATTGATAATATAGGTCGTACTCCATCTTTAGAAGGAATAGTAGATAGCTTTTTAAATGATCTCAACAAGGTAGATAGCCAGCAGATCAGTAACGTAAAAAAAGCATGGATCTACGATAATTACTTAACTTCACGTTTGAATTGGCCTTTCCTCGTCTATGATTTTAGTAAAACCCTTTTATCTAAATTAGATGCAGGCGTCATAAAGATGTTGAAGTTGTGGCTCGGGCTCGCGCTAACGGCTGATTCATCGGCTTTATTCAGGGATCGTAATAGTTTTGGGATGAATCTAAAAAGACCATCGGAGCTCTACAAACACCTAAGAGTTTCCAAGAGACATATCCTGGGAAAATCCCATGATGACGTCGTTACATCACTCCCAAAAGACAATGATGCCCCAGAGCTAGAGTCACGACTTCAATTCCATAAACAATTTATGATCGGAGCGCAAAATAACAGAGTAGGGTTAGGATCAAGTAGGAAAGTCCAAGATACGGATATATTAAAGTCTTTTATTCGGCAAGACGAGAACGATAAATACAAGATCCATGCAATGAGTTTAGAAATGCAGAACGAGTGGTTAGACATGGGAGATTTTTGCATTCCACTAGCACTAAAATGGCGCACCCTAATTCATGACTGGTCGCCAGCCTTGCTAAAATTTTATCTCAATGCGTTCCAGATGACTCTCCCAGATCAGAGTAATTTAGTAAGATGGGGTAAAGGTACCGAAAAAACTTGCTATATCTGCGGAAAGGCAGTTGGAACTGCCAAGCGTTTGCTGGTGGGATGTAAGGTTCTCCTGGACAGCGGTCAATACTCGCGTCGTCACGATAGGGTTTTAGAGATCATACGTGAAGCGGTTAGTCTTTCGGTAGCCAGAGCGCAAAGGGAAATAACCACAAACGAGCGATCAATAGGTTTTGTGAGAGAGGGCACCAGAGCTATAAAATCAAGCGTCAAGCCTTACTCTATCCTTAAAGCGGCTTCGGATTGGACTATCATGATGGATACGTATGAGAAACAATACAAAATCCCCGAGGATATTTGTGCGTCGGCCTCCAGACCAGACATATTTCTATATTCGCGTATTTTAAAGCGCGTTGTGATGATAGAGCTTACGGTGCCTTGGGAAACCAACATCCCCAAAGACCATGCCATCAAGGTCAATAAGTATTACGAGCTCACTAACGAACTAACTCGAAATAGGTTCGTCGTTGATTTGTACGCGGTAGAGGTGGGAGCGAGAGGTATAACAGCTAAATCTCTCTATAACCTACTAAAAGACTTGGGCCTGTCCAGAACTAACATTAATTCATTCTTAGAACGTACGTCGAAGGCAGCCCTAGTAGGTTCTTTTCAAATTTGGTTAGGTAGGGAGAGGAACTTGGACAGTGGAGGTGAGCGTATAACGCGCGTTAGTTGAGGGGCCCCTTAAACCTACACCTGGGTCGCAAGTCCCAGGCACTGTTGAAGCTCCTCTCCCTGCAACGCGATGGACCCGGCACCCGCACGGTGAATCCATTGAATGCTAAGAGGTTTCGTCTCTCTATAAAAAAAATATCTGGAAAACGCCACCTTCTCTCACAGTACGAGGTACGACATCTACAAACAAAGTTACCCGACAGTGATTACTTTCCCTGCACTGCACTGGGTTGTTTATTGGTTCTGATCCAATAAATATAGCAAGCAATATTTTATAGTTTATTATCAAATCATACATAAACACCTCAACACAAAAATTCGTTAAAAAATTGTATTTACTTACATAGGCAAACCATTACATTATATCTACTTATAAAAGTTTCTTAAGTATCTGTTTAATGTAGCATGTATTTAAAACTCTTTTAATACAGATTTGATTTCATTTATCTATTAAATTTACATTGTAAAGTTAAATAGAAGCTACAATACCTGTTTATGTAACAATATCTGGCATCATAAAAGATATCTCATAAAGGCAGCATCACACGTAAACAAAAGTCCATTATTATTCATCTACTGGCTGACGAAGCGAAGTCAATGTCTATCTTATTTCTTTTATAATTATTCACGCTGCCTTCTTGAAGGGGGGTTCCCCCGCCTTAGAGGGATAGAGAAAACGTCTTCGGTTTTTGCGGCGTTTGTTTCAAGTTTTTTAGGGGGTAAACCCTTTCCTGAACATGACAGGAATTGGATCATTAAGCAAGCCTACCCATATTTAATTCGGCTCCCTGAGTCTTGTTATGAATATCAACACATTTTTGATGTAGTATTTTATTTCAACAAAATTAAAGTAATTTCAATTTTGTTAACAGTAATTAAATTCTTGTTTATGTAACAATATCTTTTTACATTTACAATTGGTTGAAATACATTATAAGTACGTAATACAAAATAATTCATACAACTCTTACGTAACGTCAATAAGCTTAAAAACTTATTTCCAATCTACAATTCCTAAACAAAATATGAATTCATTGCATCAATCTTTTCATAAATTCCTTAACGAGTAGTTTATTTAAATCAGAGCAAATCTCATGTCTAATAAAAAAACCCCATCAAATCATTCCTAATAACCAATATTGGAATATAGATTCAATACAATAAAAAAACTACGGTGAAACATCGCTAACTCTATTCATAACTCAATATGAACTCGACCTAATCAATTCAAAAGAGAAAAACGGGGCAAAACGAACACACGCATCGCGCCGTCTGCTTATGAAATTATATCGTGGAAAATCTACGGTTGGAAATGTCGACGAATAATTTATACTTTTTTTTACCAGTGCAAGCAGTTCGTCTGAGACGTAAATGGGTTAGAAAATTGAATGAGCGCATGCCGCAACCAGGTTAGCTTTGAATAAGTATGAGTGTGCTCGGTTTTGGGTACATCTGGCTTTATTTGAACATTTATTTGTTGAATTCGTTTTCTGCAGATTTCGTATTATACGATTCCGTTTTATTTCTGATTTGTTTACGATATCATTATATTTTACTTGAAGAATATAATGAAAATTATAGTTACTTAATTGTTAAGAACTAATAAATTAAATGAATTTCATATATACATATGTGTAGTCTTTAAATAATTTACAATTGTTGACTGGATATTTGAAGATTGTTGAAAGTTGAAAACAAAATTTAAATCTTTAAAATCTTTACACAATGCGGTTACTACATAAAGCAACATTTGTAATCAAAGAGAACTACCAAAGTCACAGAAGACCTCATCATGCTCTGCCATAATGCTCTTATCTCTCGTTCTACTAACGACGTCTACATCAAAGATTTCCTTCCATATGTGCGGGAACTAATGAAAAGAGTCGGATCTGTCGATGCCTCGAGTCTTACCGATAGGAAAATTAAAACGTCTAGACTGCTGCTTGTTCTTTTTGGTTTATTTAAGACATTTCTTTTGACGTAAGTAACATATAGTATTAATAAAAAGGGATTTTATCAGTTTTTTTACAGCCCAAAGTTAAGATATTATATTTCAGAAAGATTATTAAGTTTAAAATAATAATTTGAATTATATGCGCTGAATATATAAATGTTTATAAATTAATAAAAACATTTTCGACTTTTATGCAAATAGGTTTATGAAGCCTCAAGCCGAAGGCGATCTTTCTAAGACGTTCTCTTCATTAGCGACAAGAAAAGTGATGTCATTCCGTTGTGACACAGCATGCAAGGGAGATCCGTTCCCCCCGGTGGTCTCTTCGCGACTGACTTGTACGCGGTCACCCCCCACCCCCTACCCCCACAGTGGTGGGGGTGGACGGCTTTCTCTTTCATTTTTCCTTCGCTCCTCAGCTCATCCAGTTACATCGTTCTTATGTTTTATTTTTAATTAAAGCGTACGCAAGTCGACGGCGTAGATCTTCCCCCCCGGGGGCGGTGGGTACATACGCGGTGGGTGTTGATGATTTTTCAATGGGGAGAAAGAGTTCCCTCATTTTCTTAAGAGAAAATTGCGTTTTGTTTTCGAGTAGTCGAAGTCTGTCGTAATCGCTTTTGTTTTGTAGAAGTTCTTCGTCGTTCCCGTGCATGTGGACGTTTTTAGGAGTACCGTAAATTGTGTAGTTTAAAGTTCGAGTAAAATTGTTAAGACGTCGGGGTAGTTACGATGGTATGCATTGAAAATGCTTTAAGCGAGGGCTTGAAATTATTCTATATCGACATTGTTATGAAACTCTAAGTACAAATAGATTTTGTTACTTTATTTAATAATTATGTTTTATACAACCTTACATCTAATATTAATTATCTGCTCATTAGTTAAAACGGTAATATAAGCATGTTTCTCCGACTTTATGTACATTATATATTACTTGTTTTCATATTGCAGACCAATGTTCGTTACATTCTTAAATTACACTCACACATGCGCAACACATTATCCTCGTCTCAAAAGTTAATGTAATGAAAAACAAAAAGGGCCAAGAAAAGGGTGCGTTAAGTTCCACCGAAAAACGGGAATTTGTAAGAAGTTGCCTCCCCAGCCTCCCCGGGGGACACTGCCCCCTCGTGTGCGAAAATAAATTGCCAAGAATAATAATTATAATGAAAGCGAAAGAACATATAAATTAGTGGGGACGCCTCGAGACGAACACAAATGCTAATGTGTGCGGAAGCGTATACTTCCAGCTGCCACTCTCAAAAGAAAACAAAACAATACATAACACATAAAGTAACATAATATTGAAATGAACTTTTAAAAATATCAGCCAATATAACGTTTTAAACGTGCATTAAGATGACCCTCCCTCATCCTTGAGTCATTATCAGCTAATGGACATAACGGAGCCACTCCTACGGCTACGTGTTAATAGTATAATTATTTGCTAGCACATAAAACAGATATTGAAAAATATAAGGTTGAATTTTTATAACAACTTTTTTTATAGCCGGACTATCAAATCCTATAACCTTTTAAAATATCTAATAATCGCTTCTCTTTATCAAAATAGCCTTATTATTTCTAATTTGCGTTAAACAGAAAAGTATTTTAATATTTAATGTGTAAAATACTATGTGTGATAATGATTATATTTATTTTAGTATTCTTATTTGGTTATATAATAGCCTTTCTAAAGGCAGACATCAATTACGCTTAGCAGAATTGAATAAATGTAGACCGAATACTAAGAACATCCCTTTAAATGAGTTTAATGTTTAATAAAGATTCCCGTATATTTTATATGTTGTCCAAAAAAAAACATGAAAGATAAATTTTGAGAACTGCAATATTACCTTATTCAAAACAAACAGGATAGTAATCACCATATACATAACATTTATAGCCTTAATTAATTTTTAAATTAAAAAAAGAATCTTCTTGTACATTAAATATAAATCGGCGCAGCTCACATAATACACCCTCATACAACAACTCAATACATATTTCTTACGCGATCGCCGGGATGCGAAAAGGGGGAATGAAAAAAAAACTAATTAAAAAAGCAATCAAGGTTTTCTTGACGGCGCTCACGTTCGCCCATATCGTCTTACCCCCACTTCCTGGGGTGATTTCTCCCTGCCACCCAAGCTCACCCTTTGAGGGGTGGCAGGGGGAAGTGGTACTAGATTTACGTAACACGTTTAAAGTGTGTTTTGATGAAGTAATCATCCCATTTCCCCGGACTACGTTTAAGAATTTTGCGGCTCGGACTCACGGCGACATTTCCCTTTTTTTTCACTTCAACTCTTTAATCCGGATTTCTTAACGAGTTGCTATACTATAATTTCAGTGGGCAATTCTCGAAATTCATTTTGCGAGTGTATTGAATTTTTTTATGTGGAATATTTAAAGAAAATTTACCTTCTTAAGGATAAACGTTCATAATTTTGAATTTTTGTTTTTAATCACTATTTATCTCTAGTAATTTCTTGGTTAAAATGATCGTTTAGAATTTAATATCTTTGTATTGAAACATGCAGCAGTTGATACATTTTTAAAAAAATATTGTTAAAACGTTTTCCTTCTTTTTCACTAAATATGAATGTCGATTTCCATGGTTAGGTATGTATACTTTATGTAAAGCAAAAGTTACATAAATCATGAAAATCAATATGCTAGATACTACATAGCCATGTATATTATTATTATAATTAAACAAAAACTCTCAGACTTTTTGAAGGAATGTAAAATTTTATGTTACATAATATTTTAATGATATTTTTTTTAACATTACAATTTTAAACTTTTTTTAACTTATCTGATTTGATATTACATAGTTGATAATTTTAAGGATTTAATATATTCGCATAACTGTTTAAGTATAATATTCTTTTTTAAATATGTAATATTTGACACAATTTTCCTTACATAAAACACATTTATATACACAAATTCTGTTTAAATAAATGTTTATAAATACAAATATATCATTATAAACAATATATTATAAACTAAAATTGGTAAAAGGATTGAATACATAA